GCGAAGCGGGCGGCGATAAATCATCGGCGGCTAATTTATCGCATGTGAGGTCATTACGTGCTGATGGTCTATAGGGTCATGCAGTAAATCAGGTGGCGATGGCCGGTGGGGTCGCCCGTGACCTCGGCTTGCTGGACGGGCCGTCACCGGGCGGGCAGCGACACTGGGAGCGCAGAGTCACACCGGCGCACATCGGCACCGGCTGCAGGGGTGACAGAGTCACACGGTGGCACGTCGGCAACGGCTGCATGGTGGGACAGAGTCACACGGCGCACGTCGGCAACGGCTGTAGGGTGACGGACAAGCACACGGGCGCACGTCGGCACGGCTGTAGGGGGACAGAGTCACACGGGGCGCACGTCGGCAACGGCTGCAGGGTGACAGGTCACACGGGCGCACGTCGGCAACGGCTGTAGGGTGACGGAGTCACACGGGCGCACATCGGCAACGGCTGTGTAGGGTTGACGGAGTCACACGGGCGCACATCGGCACCGGCTGTAGGGTGACGGAGTCACACGGGCGCACATCGGCACCGGCTGTAGGGTGACAGAGTCACACGGGCGCACATCGGCACGGCTGTAGGGTGACAGAGTCACACGGGTGCAGTCGGCAACGGCCGCTGGATGACGCTTTTCCAGCTCTCCGCGAGATTTGCGTGATGGGAGCTGGTTTATGGTAGGCTACTGAAGCCATGCCATGGGGAAAAAGCACATCCATTCCGAATATCGCATGACATAGTCTGTCTGATGTCTGAATGTCTGATGACTGAATGTCTGACAGGTGATGACAGCGGGGACCGTTTTTTGATTTTTAGTTTGGAAAGTCAATATTTTAGAATCATTCATTAGGAAGTTGATGTCGTAGTAGCACTCAACAAGTAAAGAGGGGCAAGAAATTGAAATTTTTCAGCTTGCAAGACTGAGCATGTTACGGCACACGGCGTACTGAGTGATCTATTTAGCCTCACTATTGCATGCAGTGCCTGTTTATTATCAATCTTAATCAATTCATCCCAGTTATTTTAGCGATTATTTTCATGCAAAAATATCGACAAAAGACACGAAATGTCCGTACAATTTTCTTTGGGGCATTTTTGTCATTCATCGCGTGATCACGTCACTCACCTTCACGGTTAATCGCACTAAGCTAATAGATGAAAGCTTTTGACAGCTGCAAAACAAGTTGTTTGCCGACATTATTCACGACGCGATACCTGTTAAGAATATGCATATATCCTCTTTCGTCGAGCCGCAGAACGTAATGCCTGCTCCTCGTGCGTCAAGGACGCACATGCTGAGTCCAAACCATCTTGATGTGATTTCAAAAATCGTGGTAGTCTCGCTCAAGAAGTCCACTTTCCTGATAAACCGTGATTTATCCTAAGTGACGCGCCGGGCCATTTCACTGAAGTCATCTGTCGGCTCCCATCCTTCAGTCTTAGCAGGGCTCCCCTCTGATCTTGCCGCCAACGTCTCGTCAATTTGGACGTTCTCGCCAGATCAGACGAAGCGGCGTGACAGCGCAGCTTTGTCGCGCGCGTGTCGTTTTAAATGACCATGAATGGATTTGGCTAGCTGAGCACATTTAGAAACACCGTGGCAGTCGCGCTTACTCGTAATGTCTTTTCATTTGGGTGATTTGAGGCCGCGTGGTTTGTTTCTTCTCGGAGTAGAATATTTAACTCTGCGCCTATTGAAGCGCCGCGTGTGGTCGTCGTGTGACGTCTCGTGCTGACGTCATGCTTTCTCCGCAGATGGACGCCAAGACCTCGCCGCTGGCGATGCTGCAGAGGACGTGTTCTCAGATCGGAGCCGACACGACAGCCGCCAAGCCGCTGATCACGGCGGAGAAGAAGAGGGAGGAGAAGAAGGAGACGCCATCCTCTCCAACGGCTCCTGCCGCAGAGAAGCCCACATTCAAACCGTACGACCTGGATCGGAAAGAGCCCGCTCCGGCGCCGGCGGCGACCGCGGCAGCAGCGGCCTCGACAGCGGCGGCGGCCGCGCGCCGAGGAGTCGCCGAAGGAGCGCAAGTCGCCGGGCCGCTCGCCTGAGAGCCGGAAGACGCCGAAGAGCGAGGCGGGGTCGTCAGCGTCAGGGGTCGGGCACGAGCCCGATCACGCGGCCCGGCGCCGAGGTGCTGGCCGGCTGCGGCGGCTCCAAGGAGCTGGCCGGCTCGGCCTGCAAAGCCAGGCGCGCTGCCGATGCCGCTGCCGCCGTACCTGCCGGGCGCTGACGCGGCGTCGGCCGCGCTCCGTCCCACGCTGCCCGGCCTGCCCGGCCTCTACTCCGTCTGGCCTGTCGGCGGCCTCCTACCTCGGCCTGCAGCAGCAACACCGGGGGGAGAAGTGCCAGAGCCCGTACTGCCCGTGCGCCTACAGCACGCCGCACGGCTACGGCGCGCCGTGCCCGGCCGGCTGTGCCCAGTGTGAGCACGCCAAGGCGCTAGGCGGCGCGCTGCACTCGCCATACCTGGGCCTGGTCAACCCCTTCTATCCGCCGACCAGCCTGGGGCTCGGGCTGTCGGCCGCCGCTGGCACGACCGCCGGCGCGCAGCCGATCGTGTGTAGCTGGATGGCCGACGGGCGCTATTGCGGCAAGCGGTTCGCCAGCACGGAGGAACTGATGCAGCACCTGCGCACGCATACAAACCTATCGGCCAGCGACTCGGCGCTATCGCTGCTGCACCCGGCGTACCAGGCGTCGCTGCTGGGTGCCCACCGCTCGCCGTTCGCCGTGCCTCCGTCTTCGCTGTCGCCGCTGTCGGCGGCGCGGTACCACCCTTACGCCAAGCCGCCCTCTTCGCTGGCGCTGGGCGCGCCGCACCCCAGCGCGCTGGCCGCCTACTATTCGCCGTACAGCGCACTTTACGCCCGGCCTCCGACCCTGCCCTGAGGGCTCCAGCCAAACTGACCGACGCCTGGCCGACGCTCGGTGTCGGCGGAGCGAGCGGGCGGCCGCCACGCGTTCTCAAAGGCTGACGCCCCGGAGAGCTGATGTCCGAGGAGGACAGCCAGCTCGCCGGCCGGGCGCGGAGACGAGGACCATCGCCAAGCCGGGGAGACGGCGAAATCCGGTGTAGTGCCGCTGGGAGGAGGCGTGATGCCCTCCGGCTGCCTCAGTCTCCGCCTGGGGGCGCGGGGATCCGGAGCAGCCCGTGATCTCCAGAGCTGGTGATCCAGTGCGTCTCCGCAGACCGGTCAGCCCCGCCCCGGCTCGACCTGGTGACCCCGCCCCGGCTCGCCGGCGGTCCGCGGACAGGCTCCGGGTCCTCCCCGCGGACCGGGGAGCTGTGCGTGACCTCGGGGTCTGGGCGTGTCGGCTCAGGAGGCCCTGAGGCTATGGGCAGGGCGGAGTGGCGACCACCGCTGGCTGCCCGGCTCAAGCTGTGCTGCATGAGCAAGTCTGTGATGCTGTATATACCAGAGGCGGCGTCCGATTGTGATAAGCCCGTTTTTATTGTGATACAGATGTCTGCGTAGTGCTAAGCGTCGTCGTCATGGTTACCATTGCGCCGAGTCGTATTTGTCCCGTCTGGAGCTGCGGTCGAACGCTCCCGTCGTCCCGTGTGACCCTCCCCTCCACTTTCGTTGGCGAAGCCCCCGGGGTGCGTATTCAGATCTACTTGTTACGTGCTGTCCTGATTTTATGGTCGCGTGTTCTCCGATGGTCGGGCGGTGTCGCCTGCCTTACGGACCGCACGACGTGTCCCGGCCACTCGGGCGCCACCTGCCGCCGGCGGCCGGCCGCCTTGTGCAACTGTAAATATCACCCTAACTTATTGCCGCTGAATAAATCAAATCGTGAAAATTGAACCGTCTGATTTACGGTGCTGCCGGAGGCGAAATCGCAGCTTTTACGGATCGTCAGATCGGCCCGCAGGGGCCGTAAGTTAAACCGGTGGCAGGGGCGCAGTCAGGGTAAGCCACACGGGAAGAGGGGTCAGGGGGGGGGGGGGGGGTAGCGAGTCGCATCACTCGTTCGGATGTGATGCATTGCGGGTAGACACGTGAGGCCATTGATCTAAGTCTTTCATGCCCGTGCATGCCGCGACTCCGCGCGAGGTGCGCCCCTGGCACGCCGCGCCAACGGCTTTCCCGAGCCGATGCTGATATACTGCGGCGCCTGGCGCACGCCATGATCGTTGCGCCGAAATGCAAAATACGAGCGGCGGCGGAGGGTCGGCCAATCGTAACGGGGCCGGCGCTGACGCCGGCCACAGGTAGTCGTCGGTCGCGGCGGCTCGTACGGTAGCGCTCCAGCGGCGGTGGGGCGGTGAGCTGTGGGCCGGGGTCACGCGCTCAAACGGTGGGGTGGTGAACGGTGGGCTGGGGTCACGCTAACATGGGGCGCCTGCCAGGCGCGACACCTTTGCAGCGGCTGTTCACCGGGCCTGGGTCCGTCCGAGAGCCTATGTCCGTGTCCGTGGAGCTAGGAGGAATTTGCAGGCGTCGTCGTCCTTGCAGGAACAGACGTCGACATATTCACAGCCCATTGTTCGACCCGCCTTGTGATTTTGGTACAGATATGCAATAGTTTTAACTTAACTTTCCTGTCCTTTGCACTTGAAATACGACGGTCTTGGCTGAACTTTCCCGTACTTTGTACCTGCCAATGCGACGGGCTCAGCTGACCTTTCTTTTCCTTTGCACCTGACAGTCAGTCATATTTCAGGCGTTCATTTTGCCCACGAATAGCGACTTGTTGCATGGCAGGTCGAAAACTGGTGACTGATATATTACTGCAGCGAAACATCATCGGCATTTTCCATCAATCTTCCATATTTGTACTAAATACCCATTGTATTTAGTACAAATCTTAAGCATCAATCTTCCAAAACTGGAGACGCTCAATCTGTGCCACACATCAGGCCTGTCGTGTGTTGCGCTAAAGGCAACGTGTGCAAGCCATACAACGCTCTTGCTTGCCGAAATTACATGCGCTATAAATTCAGACAGCATGGCCCTAACCCTGAAATGAGTTGCCGTCATTTACGAGCGCTCTTTCTGTGGCAATGTTAGCTTGGTAATGGTGAATAAAATGTTACGAGGGGTTTCAAGGACGGATGAAAGTTCGATGTTAAGTATGCTGAGGGGAGTACGGTGATTTGTGCTTTTAAGTGCTCCACAGAGTCGAGAGCCTGCAACAACAGAAAGGCGTGAGCGAGACTGATGCCGTTTGACGTCATAAATGTGCTAAAATTGAGGTGGAACTAAAACATCGAAACCCGTTCTGGCCGTTCTCAATTTCAGTCTGCGGCGTGCTTCAGCAGAGTGCCGTTTGCAGCGCCACATCATCCCAAACATGTCCAAGCGTCGACTTCGTCGAATTTATCGCCGCCCATAAATGGACAACGGATGCGGATAACGGACCATTTTACGTTATGTGCCCGGGGGCCCAGCATGTCTCAACTGAACTGGCAGGCATCGGTCCATAAACTGAAGTTAACACCAGGCATAAAGTTCCTCAAACGAACGCCGACTCGTCCTGAAGAGGAAGGCCCGGCTATTCAAGCCACAATACGGGGGTGGCAGCTGTCTCTGTGACGCTGGTGGGCCTGGGCCTGGGTCGGCCCGACACCGACAGCTCGACTTACCGCAGACGACCGACCGGCGTGCGGAAACGTGAAACAGCAAAACAAAAATGTGTTGGCAGCGGGGACGGCTCGACATCATATCAAACTGGGGCATGCGTCAGACAGGGCATGGCCAAATGGAAATGCTGTAGCGTTTTGGCGTGATGGGACTATTCTTATCATAGGCGATTCGGTGTCACGTCATAACAAAGAAGGCTGAGAGGCTGATTCAAAAACTGAGTCCAATTGATTCGAAACAAAACAATCACGTCAGCGAAAGTTACACACAGGTACGCGTCCCATCGATTGACCCGCTTCGCTTGATTTAAATTTAAGCGACCATAAGTAACACGAAGGTTGGTTACAACTACGCTTCTCAAAATAAGAAATTTTAAGAATGATAAGTGAAATGATGTTAAAAATAAACCAGCACCTACACGCTGAGCAAGCTGCATCATACAACATACCCTTCGCCACATGGGGCAGCCGCATGCCACGACCCAGATGAGGTACGCTGTCGACCCATCTACTACTTGCCCACTTGTTCGTTGCGTTTCAACCATAGCCCAGTGAATTTTTCAGCCATAGTTAAGTTTAGTCTGCCTGGGCGGGTTTTGCCTCCCCCCCTTGCCAAAGCATCTTAGATACATTACAGCTTCAGATAATCTTTTTCAGTACTGACATCGAACGAATCACCCTGGAATTGTTGCGCAGAAAAATTCACTGCAAATCGGAATCATGCTAGCTATTTTGTAGCGGCGTGCTATAAACAAAATGAGAAAAAAGAGCTAAAATTGTAATCAAAAAGCAGGTGGAAGTGCCTGGAAAATTCATTGAGTTGCATAAATGATTCCTGGACACTTTTAAACCTTAAAACGTTTCACCGTCGTCTGCTATCAGTGCGTCGTGTTAACTCGAAGTGTTTTTCGCTACATTCTTATGATATTTCAGAAGACACTTCAATGCTTCGAACCTGTGGTGCTGATTTCGGTCTTCAAATATTTTACGAATGCAGGTAGGCGGCAGAATATTTCAAAGTTCTGTAGTAGAACGTTCAGCTTCAATTTGTTCCTTTCACTCGCTTCTCTCATGTAATAATGGAATGTCAGACAAATGCGTGAGAATGAGGAAAGTGGCGTCCTCCCCGAGGCCCCCGTGGCTCCTCCATCATGTCCGATGGCTCCTACACCAGCTCCGGTTACTCCTCCACGAGGTTCCGGTAGCTCCTCCACGAGACTGCGGTGGCTGCTCCACGAGGATCCAGTGGCTCCTCCACTAGGCTCCGGTTACTCCTCCACCAGGCTCCGGTAGCTGCTCCACGAGACTGCGGTGGCTGTCGACGAGGATCCAGTGGCTCCTTCACGAGGCTCCGCTAGCTCCTCCACCAGACTGCGGTGGCTGCTCCACGAGGATCCAGTGGCTACTCCACCAGACTGCGGTGGCTCGTCCACCAGGCTCCGGTTGCTCCTCCACGAGGCTCCTGTGGCTCCTTCACTGAGCTCCAGTGATGTTCGGGCCTATAAGCCAGAGCTGTTCCCGGAGAAGCGA